CAGCCTTTAGCCTGTTGAAACAACCCTTTTGGAACGGCGGCAATTCGGGGTCAATCCACTCAAAAAGGCGACAAGGAGGATCGGGCTGTGAAGGTCGNTTTTAATTTATTGAAAGGAAAACAAATGTGTTTTTCAATTATCTCAAATGTTGGTGGGGAATTTATTTGGAACGTAAGTTATGTGACATGTTTGTTATATTCAAAATGAGGTAGATATATATAGTAGTTATTATGGTATTTTAACACGCGTATTTAAATTTCAAATTGAGCATTTCAAATGAGTAGATATGCTTATTGATGGTAGGGGCATCATGTACTGCATAAAAACGGATACAAATCAGCTCAGTGAAAATTGTAATTAGGGGTGTCACTGTACAAAACTAAATACAAACACGATATGATTAGAAGTATAATTATGAGGACAAATAGTACAATGGACACTGGCATGATGGGGTATGACCCGTATCCCACTATATATTAATTGAGAACGTGTTGAGCCTATGTGGCAGGCTCGCATACTTTGGGATTCTATATGGCAAAATTACATGCTTCGTTATTAGGCTTGGATAAGTTTAGATTATCTATAAATATGTTGATTATTTATGGTAGGAGTGAGCGCGGTTCGGGACGATCTTGGATTTGACTTGTCCGCATACCCATCCTACTTTTATGAATTCGTCCATGAACGGCCCATGATGAGGCACCGTCCCCACCCATGTAATACATGGGTGTTGTACTAGTTAATTTTAAAATTGAAAGTTCATGTTTCACTTATGTCGTTTCGGATCATGGATTAATATTCGAACTTATGTAATGAGTGTCAGTTAGTCATCGTTCAGCTTGATAATTGCATAATTTTGAAGCAAATGTTATGAGGATGCTTGGATACAAATCTATTAAAAAAAAAAAAAAAAATCCAAATATTTTTAACTCAATCACTTTTCTAATTCAATTTTAACTCAACTTCACTATCATCGATATTATCAATACAATTAAATACTATCAACCAATTATTATTACATATCACATCAACTTTAATTCACTATTCATTTATCATATAATTTTAACTAATCATCAAATAATCTCCCTCTTACTTTTACATCAAATCAACTTTAATTATTTTATTTCAAATATTATTTTAATATACCCATTAACTAACCCTACCATTTTTTTCAAAATTAACCAAACCAAACCAAAAAAACTCAATCAAATTCAAAAAAAAATTATATCCAGGCAGTTTCACTGAAGTTATATTAGTAAAATTGGCATTAGGTTCTTATTTCACTAAAGTTATTGAGTTATTTGAATGTTATATTGTCGTTCAATTTCAATTGAGACAACTTATTGTGTGTTTTCGATGAATTTTGTAATAAAAGTCGGGGGCAAATATTATTTAGGAGTTTTTTCAATACAAGACCCGAAAGATGGGTAAACATCAAATTGGGGCCTGAAAGATTTATTTTTTTTAAATTCGGGACTTAAATGTTATAGAACTATCAAATTAAGTCATAGAATTAACAAAAGCCATAACACCGTTAAATTGAGAGTTTAAAAAAAAAAAAATTGGTGCTTACTCGCATAAAATAATAAGCAAACATTCGAATAATATTTCAAAAAAANAACAAATTAGGAATTTTAAAATTTTAAATTAACTTTCAATTTAATAGTGTTATGAGTTTTGTTAATTATAAGATTTAATTTGATAATTTTATAAAATTTAAGTCCCAAATTAAGAAAAAAAATCTTTTAAGCCCCGATTTGATAGTTTACTTATCTTTCAGGTCCCAATTTGTTTAGTATGTGTTGTGAGTGAGTTAGCGCTTCTTATGTCTACCTTGTGTAGGCCTCCTTCGAACTAGATGGCTGATTGAATGGCTTAAAACTTCAAAATTAACTTATTCTAGTTGATGTCTAGCTGTAATTATGTGTTTTCGTTATAATATCTATTGTTTCGAAAAAAAAATTTGAGCCATGTTTTTTAATAGAATTATTTCTATAAATTTCACTAACAGAATGAAAATAATAAAAAGTATTTTAATAGTATGTATTATTTAAAATAAACTACCATTCATTAACTCAGAAAATTTTCAACATTCAAATTAATATTAAAAATTTATTTTATTACTATCAATTTCACTACCAAAATCAAAATAACCAAAAGTATTTAATATTATGTATTATTTAAAATAAACTATCATTCATTAACTCAAATATTTTCAAATATCAAATTAATATTCTATTATTATTATTATTATTATTATTATTATTATTATTATTATTATTATTATTATTTACCACACAAATTTTATTCATTATATTTTTTTTATATACATTCATAATTTCAAATCTCTTGTTGCATTAAAAAATAATATATATTTTTTATTTTTTTTTTCATCTCATTTTTAAACAAGACAATATTTTCTGAAGAAAATTCATATATTGAATATTGTCTCCAACAGCCTTCCACACATCAATCTCTCACCGACAAACTTACTTTCTTGCAAGATTTTCTCGAGAAGCAATCCATCGATGCAAAGAAACGCAGCTTATGAAGTAGAGGATATAATCAAATTTCATATATTCCAGCTCATGAAGCAGAGGATATAATCGAATCTCATATAGTCGTCAGCATTTGCAACTTGAATCTGATGGACTCTATGGAACTCGATAAAATCCTCTGCTTCGAAAGCAGAAACATATTTGGTCTTCCATGTGAGATAATTTCAGCCCTAATATTTGAACCCATACTTGCTTGAAATCGAAAAATAAATCAGCAGCGACAGACCACAGATTGAAATGAAATAAGCATTTCTCGTGGAGGCGAGAACTAGAAACCCTAATTGGAAGAATAGGAATTTTGGCTGTATTTATAGAGTACATGTCAAAACGGGTTTGGGCCTGGGCCTGCGTGTGGTGCGATCTCGGTTTGTTGAGCAAATTGGGCCGGAATTAAACTTGTGTGGTGGATATGGATTGGGGATTTGATACAAGGTCCATTTCTCTATTTCCAATCTTTTTGAAGTGCGTGTAATTTTATCACGAGTGGAGTTAATTATGGCTGACTTTAAAATCCAAAAATCGATGGAACCAAACAAAATCAGTACTTCAAAAAGTCACACCGATTTTTTTGCTTACAAAAATTCGGTTACGACTATGTTTTGGTTCGATTTTGGTATTATTCTTTATATGATTTGGTAATACTTAATCAAACCAAAAATCATATAAAAAAATATTTTTGATTTTTCAACTAAGAGCATCCCAATGGTCATGTAAATTTTAAAGTGAGTTGAGTGATGAATATCGAACAATGAGAATCTTTAATAATATAGTAATGTCATTAGGTTGGATAAATGCAGGAGTTACCCACCAGAGATTGGTGTATAAGATGTTTCGAATACAAATAAGTCGTAACATGAAGATATATGTTGACGCTATGTTGGTCAAAAGATTGAGGGAAGAGGACCACCTTGTCGACCTATTTGAGACCTCAAGAGAGTATGAAATGAAGTTGAACTTGACAAAGTGTGCTTTCGGGGTAATGTCAAGGAAATTCTTAGCTAGAGGTTAATTCAAAAAGTCCAAGTTGTTCTGGAAATGGGACCACCGAAAAGTACAAAAGAAGTACAACTGTCGACATGAAGAATAGCAGGTCTAAGCCATTTAGTTTCTAAGGTAGCTAAGAGAAGTTGACCTTTATATAGAACATGAAAGAAAAACTCGAAGTTTGCATTGACTGAGGAAGCACACCTAGCATTCGATGAACTGAAAGTAGTATTGGCCGAGTTACCTTTTTAGGCAAAACCTGACAAAAGAGCTAGCTTGGTTCTATACATTTCAATTGGGCAAGTCAGAGTTGAGCTTGGTG